CATCAAACAAACTCAGGTCACCTATGACCAAAGCTGGAATCAAACCAAGGTCACAGTGTTGAAAGGCCAGCATTCTCACTACTATGCCACCAATGCACGAAAGAAGTTTCTAAAGTTTTCGTCCATCACCACAATGGTAAAGTGTGATAACATTTTTCTTTCTGGTAAACCATACATTTTTGTAATGAAAATRAATAAATAAAAATTTGACAAAAAGTAGAAGRGTGGTGATAAATATATTACAGTTTTCATTCATACCAAAACAACAATAATTACGCCACCATTGTTCACCATTAAAAAAATGAAGCATGTTTTATTATAGGTCACTCAAATGACTAAGAATGTCAAAGTACAGATTTAAAGCTTCATTTGCATTTGCAGCATGTGTAAGACCATAATCTTCCATAATCTTCCATAATCATTGCAGCCAACTCATTAAACTCTTTACTGCAACCTCTTATTAATGGTTCCTCAGCACATAGCTCTTCTGCAATTTCAATGTCATCATTACTGATTGGTACTTTGTAACAATGAGTATCTCTCATTTCAGGTAAAAAGAAAAGCATATCAGGTATACCACTAGGAGAATTTATATTAGTACTTTTTCGTATGCGATGAGTGTTCCACATTTCAGCAACATGGTGAAGTTCCTTTTGTATTACTGGCATAAAACAAAACTTGAGACATTCTACCWCAATAGGATTGCTGTCATTATACTGTGCAGATTCTCTTAACTGCTTAAAAAAATTAATCCACCAATCAGAGTTACTCTTCCTAAGATGTGACCACCATGCTTCAATCCTTTGATTGGAGACAGATTTTCCATACAAGAAACTCTTTTCTCTGGCAAAAGCATCATCATCATCAGCCCTTATAAATCTTTGAATGTGAGCAATATTTACATTTTCTGTGCCACAATCACCCCTAACTATCCTGGGAACTCCTGACAATTGCCTCACACAATCAATGTAAWATTTAGCAACAATGTTTGGGTTATTGTTTGAAGAGGCAACTTCAAGCCAGAGAATGCAGCGACTATATCCATCTATGGCTCCATGAATGCAAAAGCCAAATGGCTTGAGTTTGTCATAGCCATCTAAATGCCAGATGTAATTTGGTCCTTTTGCAAAATACTGTCGACGCCGTAACTTGTGACTTGACCGTTTCTCAACACCCTCTGCATCTAGTCCTCTTAGCGCCAAACGTACACTTTCTCTTGATGTAACCAAGGAATACTTGTTTCTCAACAGTTGATGCATTTGTCGATAGCCTAAACAGCTTCCACTACCCTGAAGTTCTAGTTCAATTGCATTAACGATATTCTCTGTGTTGGAATGGTCTTTTCGTCTTCTTAAGTTGCACTCCTTGAGAATGCGCTTGAGTTGCCGAAGACTTAAGGAGATGCCATGGTAAAGTGCCAAAAATGCAAGAATTTCAACATATTCTAAACCTAAATGGAAATACTGTGTGATGATAGCTACTGCCGGCCTGTTGATCCGGTCTGCCTCAATGGCTGGTATGTAGGAAGGAAGAACACATTCTGTCATTGGAAGGTAGAACACGAACAGTAGAAAGATCATTTTACACTCCTATAAAGAGAGAATTTTACTGAAGATTAGCTTGAGTTAGTCTAAATACTAAGCACTTACCAAAATGATTTGCATCTGCAACAATGAAGATAAAAATCTCTGGAGCACCAAACCAAAAAATGCACTATTTTATATATWGGTTCTGTTAGCAACATAAAAGTTAATGCAACATTTTTATGTGACAAGCATTGGGGAAGTGGGGGCTAGCCTAGAGTTAGGGTGCCCCCTCCCCCCCTTCCCCTGGTTTCACTGCACCTATAACATTATCTCACTAGTATTAACTTTCACCTGCCCTCACCKGTTGTTAAAGGCATCAATTTATTTTAAGGTCTTTCATAGTTAGCTGACATGCACTCAATTGAAAGATAACATAAAAAAACGCATTGCTATCGATATAAAAACATAAAATAATTAATTAAAGATAAAACGAAATTCACCCAGCTACCTGGAATTCGAAGTTTAAGTTATACCATGTTTATACCGTAATATAATCAAATAAAGCAGGGAAACACGCTTTCTTTTAGAGTCTAGTACAACTATTCACTTTTCCTATGGTTCCCATGCTAATTGCTTAAAAAAAAACCAATTCGAAGGGCGGAAATTCAGTTAACTCACCTTCTAAACTTCGCTCGCCGTCTTGTCCATGTGCGAAATGGCCGTAGGAGCCTGAACACTAGTAAAGTGTTATCGCGCGATAAGTTGTTTTATCGCGCGATAAGTTGATATTTATCGCGCGATAGTGACTAAGTTTTGTTATCGCGCGCTAATTTGCTTTATCGCGCAATAAGTTGCTTTATCGCGCGATGATCAGAGAGGCTTTATCGCGCGATAAAAGGCAAGTTTTTTTGTATGTGGTTGGCCCTTACAAGCCACCGTAGAAATGGGTTATATATCGTTATATATCGGTGTGTTTGTTTCACTTATTTGTGGCCCTGGGGGGGGGGGGGGGGGGTACTTATGCCCGTTTAGGGTAGGGATGTGCCTTGACCCTGCTCCAGAGTAAAATCGCTGAAAACCATACCCTGTTTGCCCGAGAG